CTAGCTGTGCTCTGTTCCCGCATTAATTCAGTTGTAACACGATGTCCTATAGCCTAAATATTTTTCTCGGTAAGACTTTTAAAAGCAAAAAAAAAAACTTTTAAAAATATGATATCGCGGACTTTGTAGATAATAAAATATTCTATAGCTTCATCAGGGATAACGTATAGTTTCAATGGTGAAATAATTTTTAATGTAGGTCCAGTAGTTTCGGAACCAACAATCAAATCTTTCCTGTTACCGTATCCTAGAGCGAGTGTTGGTGGCACATTTTCCTACAAAACATAAGACGGGGTTCAGAAGATTTGGGTAGGCCTTGTCGTACATAAAAAAAAATCAGTGGCGCTACAGTCTCTAGGTCTTGGCCTCAGATGTCTGAATCTGTTTCATGATCATTTTTAAATCTAATAGGCAAGTAGGTGATCAGCCGTACAGTGCCTGACACACGCCGTCGACTTTTTGGGTCTAAGACATCTTTCCTCACGATGTTTTCCTTCACCGTTCGAGCAAATGTTAAATGCGGACATAGAAAGAAAGTCCATTGGTGCACAGCCGGGGATCGAACCTACAACCTCAGGTATGAGAGTCGCACGCTGAAGCCACTAGGCCAACACTGACTAATCGTACATACCTGGACCAAATCCAGGAGGTACAAGAGAAGGGACGTTAAAAGTACCCATAAAATTAGCATGCATATTGAATGTCATGAAAGTGAATTAAGCGAGAGATATATGGCATTACACTTCGGGAAAAAGGTGTGATAATATGAATTAATAAAATTAATTGAAAGACTAGGATTTAATATATATTTAAGTATTTGAATATAATTCGTTCAGAACTAAATTAGCTGTTGTTAAACATATTAAAATGATTTCCAAGTTATTGTTTTAGTAAATAATGTTATCAAGTATTATTGTTACCTATCGCTGGGAACTAGGTCAATGTGTGAACAATTGAAATGCAATCATCGAACACATTCAAATGCTTGTTTGGATACCAATTTCTCTTATATTCCACTATTCAAACAATTGTTATGTCGGATACAATTTTATCATGATCGCCAACAAGAGTATCCTTATATTATTGCGTTTGAGAGAGCGGCACAGTGCAGAGAGGAATGGTGGAGGCTTTTGCTAAAAAGGCATACAGACCCAGAAGAAGGAGATAGAAATATAAATGTGTTTAACTGTAAAATTATCTGAAATAAAAGGCTATTATTATTATAGTCTCGCTTCAATGTCATTGCTTGTGGTGACTGGTCGTACTTGAATTCGTGTATGCGGTGATGTTAGTTATTTCGACTATGTATTTGCGTGTTGTTCCCACGAGAATGTAAGTGCGTGCTCCTATTTCACCGTGTCTCCTGCTGATAGAGGACAAATCTTTGTTTTTAATTTATTTTATAGGAATTAACTATTACTTAAGATGTCATGTGGTACACGGTGTAATGATTGCAGCTCCCTACAAACATTGTGTAAAACAAAAAACTTGGCGATTAAAAAGTTTCTCTCTTCAGTTCTTCTCTTCCGTTCTACGCCCTTGATTTGAGAACTCGCAGTATATAATATAAAATTAGAAGCATTTAATATATTTTTTTTTGACGTTCATAAGTGTACTTTGTGTTACCTATAGGAATTTGATTGATTGGTTATATAAACTGTTAAAAGCGATAGTGAATAAAAACCTCAGTGATGCAATGAACTAGTATGTAATTTACCGGTCTGATGTCGTTTTCTGTAAAGGCATTCGGTGGAAAGCTTGACGCTAAAAAAGGGAAAAGTCAGCTAATGCACTTCCCGTCTATGTTTCTCGTATTACTGTCGCAGCCAAATAGCTTAATAAGCCGTTCAATTAGCAGCCTAGCCGTTTACCTAATTCCTAAATATTCTGTTAGTAGCTTTAAAGTATTTAAAGAAAAAACTTTTTACCGGATTAAATTTAAAATTATGTTAAATTTACAATTATTTAACATAATTTTAAATTTATAATAATACATAACTTTAATCCGGTAAAAAGTTTTTTCTTTAAATGTGTAAAGGTTATGTCAATCAAAGACAATACTAGCTTTAAAGTATATTAAATCATAAAATTAATAATTGCACATGCAGTCCATTGCAATGACCCATGGGCAATCCAGGCTTTTACCGCCAGTTTACCAAAGATACAGCTCGCTTGCGCATCGGGGCGAAAAACAGTCCACTCTTGCGCAACTAAACATTGTAATGATGATTATATTTACGACAAGAATAATTTAAAAATTTAATTTTTCAAATTTAACAGACATAATATAATTGTAATTAAAATATTAACTCAAAATGAGTAACATATTCGAGGTTAAATGATCGAAAAGTCTTACATATATATAATATATACCGTAATACATAAATTAATGAATGCTATGTTTAGCTTTGATTCACGCTAATAATAGTTGTATGCAGTTTTTGCCGGGCACCACCACTATGTGGAACCAGCTGCCCGCTGAAGTAGAATAGCGTACAAATTCTTAAAAGACCGGCAAGGCACTCGTGAGCCCTCTGGCATTGAGAGTGTACATGGGCGGCGGTATCACTTAATATCAGGAGAGCCTCCTTCCCGTTTGGGGGCAAATAAGGTATAAAAAAAAATCTCATCCCTTCGGTCGTAGGTGCGATCCCCGGCTGTGAACTGTGTATGTATTTTCTTTCTATGTGGCATTTAACATTCGCGCGAACTGTGAAGGAGAACATGGTGAGGAAACTGGCTTGCCTTAAACCCAACAGTCGACGGTGTCAGGCACAGCAGGCTAGATTGCGTATTAGATTGATGATCATAAAACAGATACAGAAATTTGAGGCTCAGACAAAAAAAGGTAGCACCACTGATTTTTATTGTATGGAAAGGATTTTTAATTTATACAAAATACTATGTGGAAAGTGCTCATTTATTTATTTATTTATTTAATTATAAGTAATCTTACAGCTAACATACATAATATTACAAAACAAACACTTATACAAATTAAATTTATTAACGCATTTCCGCGAAAATTGCATATATTAGCAGCTATACATGCTATGGCAACATTTAATCTTTATTTATTTACACTTCGTTGCAGTAATACAGAAATATTTTACGGCGTTATCTCTTTAACTACATTAAGTATTTAAAGTTTATCGAAAAAATTTTTTGATTCTTATAAACATATTTTATTAGTACAGTAAGATATTCTCGTAAATTAAATTGTATGATGCGTCTCTTAATAAGCGCGAAATTAATCTTACTGGCAAAAAATTATGGAGATTTCAAATACGACTTTTTATACAAAATTGCATGAATTAGGATGTGAATTGTGTACAATTTACGTTTTATATAATGTAATATTTTTTTTGTACCAAGTACCAACCTAAAACGGTTACCTTAAGATGGGATTTCTAATCACAATTAACCTAATTTAAGTCTTAATATCTTATCAATAGTGATTAATAATCCATTGTACATTTTAGAGTAAATAAAATTTACATTTACTCCTCTCTCAAAGGTCGGCAACGCACTACCTTAAATGAGTGTCTATGGGCTGCGATGACTACCCTTTTTGGGCGTCCCGTACGCTCGTTCTATGTCCTATAAATAAATAAAATATTATAATACTAGCAATGCCCCGTGGTTTCACTCGAGATGCCGATCTCTTGGTAGTGGAAGTCTACTAAGTCGGACTATATATATATTTTTGTTATCATAAAAGTTTTAATTTACTTAGTATTCTTAGTTTTTAACTACTTCCTTTTAGATTATTAGATACACACATTCATAATCTAATCAATATATCTGAAATAAATAAAAATACTCTACCTTTTTTATTATTGCATTTTTGTTAGGGATCCCTGAAAATGTAGCCTTTGTAAGTAAGTGAAGATGCAGCTTTCTAATGGTGAAATAGTTTTTAAAATCGGTCCAGTAGTTTGTGTGAAAACATTACAAACATACATATATAAACACAAATGTTTCCTCCTTATAACATTAGTATAGATTATAACAACGCATACAAAGAGTGATAAGCAACCTAAAACAGTCCGCGCAAATAATGTGTACGGAGTACGGACCTTATATATTGCTCCGCGCCTTGTTTGGTTACCCTCAAATCTCGACATAACACCTGAAAATTTGCAAGACTTTTCACTTATAATACCACAAGAGCTTCAAAATTATCGGGAAATGCCAGATAATTTTGAAGCTCGTGTGGTATTCGGGGATTATTTTCATGCAAAATCTCCAATTTTCACAATTGAATTCAACCTGTCAGTTTGACGTGTGGTTAATTTGACTGGATCATGTTTTGTTTTTTATATAATATAGCAACTACCAGAGAAAATTTTCAAAAAATTATCAGTACCATAATACCATGTAGGTTCCACGTGACGTCGAATGGTGCAATTCTATTGGTCGATATTTGGGTCGGAAAAATAATCAAAAGTATTTTTGGCTTATCTGAGATGCGATTATTTGGCTCCATATATTTAACATTTGATGTAATATTTTTTTACAGTATAAAAATTGTTATTCTCTGTTTTTTGAATTGATTGTATTTTTTCCTTTCCTTCAGTTTATAAGGAATTTGTACTGTGTTTATAGCCCTTCACTCTTAAAGCACCAAGCTTAAACCACTTGGGTTCTGGTGTTTTCTGTACTTTTAGTCTTATCTCTGCGAAGGTTGGCGATCATCATGGCTAGTTTAATTTTTGATGCCGCGCCTCTAAACAATGACTTGGTGATTTGGTCAAACCACTGTCTAAGGTTTTTCAACCAAGACGTGCGTCTGCGGCCAGGTCTACTTCTGCCTGGCACTGCTTTGTATGATTAAGGAGCTCGTATTTTTTGGTGTTATGTAAAACGTGTCCGAACTACTCGCAATAGCCCTGATCCATTCTGAATCTGTTCTTTGTATTAATTATATAATTTGTTTTCAGGCGTCAACGATTGACGGCAGACGAAAAGGAGCCTGTCTCTTCTGTCAGGAATACTTTATGGATCTCTATCTATTAGCAGAGCTCAAGACTATCAGCCTAAAAGTGAGTACATTTTTATTGAGTAAAATAAATCAATGGCGCTACACCCTTGTAGGTTCCGCAGAGTTTCGTGATTTTTTGTATTAATAGGCGAGTGGGTGATCAGCCACCTGTGAGCCAACTTTTTAAGTCTATAGCATTCCAGTTTGCTCATGATGTTTTTCTACACAGCTAGTTTTAAATGCGCGTATGGAAAGTTTATTGCACAGCTGGGATTCAAAACTACGACCTCAGGTATGAGTCACACGCTGTAGCCACTAGAGTAACTTTGTGATCATTCATATGTATGAAGAATACAATTTTTAAACTCGATGTCATGCTGTGCTTTTCTATTTGCAATTAACACGTGCTTTTACGGCAAAAAAAGCCTAAGAAAACTCGGGAAGTCCTAAACAAAAAGTATCATATAAAAATATATAAGACTTAGATGCTAAGTATGATACATATATGTCGAAAGTGCGACTGCAGGTGGTACATGGCAGAGAATGGCACAAATCAGAGAGGAATGGCGGGATTTGGAGGACAGAAAAGGCACACAGACCTCAAAGAAGGATATAGAAATATGTGTTTAAGTGTATCTGAAAGTATCTGAAATAAAAGGCTATTATTATAATGTACCTACTTAATTTGCTGGGACTATGTTACGACATTAGCCATACTGATTACGAGATGAGCCTCTATTTATAGTTCTAATCAACTTTGTAAAATCAATAGTAGCATTGCTACGGTCAAGTGTATCATGAGTAACAATGTTAACGTGACGAAACATTGAATACCCTTCAACTTGGCTAAATAAAACCTTTGAGTATGTAAGTTGATTGAGAATCGAGACGAATAAGTGTGACGTGAATGTCAAAAATACAGTACGCGTTTTTGTATACGCGATTTCCGTCCCCCATATAACGCGGAGATTTCTCAAGTCCATAATTAGTTTTGCGTACCTTTGCACCTGTTTTAATTGTGTTGATATTAAATTAAACTTTGTTAAATTTGTGTTTCTAGATTGTTAAATCAATTAAAAAAACAGTTTTACAAGAATACTCCTACAACGCGATTTCGTATAACGCGTTCCAGGTCTACGGCGTTATAGGGATTACTGTATAGAGAATTTTGTTCTTCATAGTCATGTCTCGTTTCAGTGTTAACACTAAAACTATATAATTACGGCGTTTGGAAGCAAAATGTCTAATACCTAATATTTTTACAAAGCTTTTATTATCTACTAGTAGACTTGGCCAAGCGTTGCTGTGGCTAAGATTGTTACATTACATAGTAGTAAACTATTCAAGAGAAAAGGCAGGAGAACACCAATCCACCATGCTTTTTTGGTGGTTATGCAATTTAATGGCAATAGCTTATGTGAAACGTTGGTAATTATTTTGATAAGGATCAATACCTAGGTACGAATAAAGAGCCTTTTCTAGCGGTGGTATTTTAATAAAAAAAAATTAATAAAACGACGCTTATTGTGACGTAACTATAAAAGATAGAGACATGCTGTCGCGACATTTTTTATAGATAGTGATGTGTCCTGAAAAATTGTAATACATCATTTTGTTCTATCATTAATAGTTATCGCAGCGCACGCGATTGAAGGAAGTTTTTTGTTTATTTTTTTACACCTTGGGTTAGATTATGCAAGTTTTAGTAAGCATCCCTATTTTTTTTTAATTGAAACATAGCCTATGTCACTCGGGAATAGTGTAGCTTGCCAACGGTGAAAGAATTTTTGAAATCGGTCCAGTAGTTTCGGAGCCTATTCATTTCAAACAAACAAAAAATCAAACCTTTCCTCTTTATAATATTAGTAATTTTATAATAATAGTATAGAAATTCACTGTACTGTAACTAAATATACAAATACTTGACTAGTCTTTCGACCACTGCTGTAAGCGCCAAGCTTCATTATAAAATATTGGTCCAAATCTTTCAGGTAACAACAGTGGACATGCAAAAGCCACCTCCAGACTTCCGCACCAACTTCGAGGCAACACATCCGCCGATCCTCATCGACAACGGCCTGGCAATCCTCGAGAATGAGAAGATAGAACGGCACATCATGAAATCCGTGCCTGGTGGCCACAATTTATTCGTACAGGTATTTATATCATTATAGTATGGTGTAGGGCACGTAAGTAGCTGTTTTATTCGATTACCTCTTGTCACTACTTGTGGTGACTGGTCGTACCTACTTGAATTCGTGTATGCGGTGATGTTAGTTATTTCGACTATGTGTTGTTCCCACAAGAATGTAAGTGCGTGCTCCTATTTCACCATGCTTCCTGCTGATAGAGGACAAATCTTTGTTTTTAATTTATTTTATTTTTATTTATTACTTAAGATGTCATGAGGAACATGGTGTAATGGTTGCAGCTCCTTTGTTGTGTAAAACAAAAAACTTGGCGATTAAAAAGAGTGGCTGAGAGTTTATTGCCAGTTCTTCTCTTCCGTTCTATGCCCTTGGTTTGAATATGAATAAATGATTTTTGACTTTGAGCTCCCCTCTAACTCTTAATAGCGATTCGAATGATGAACCAAATTACATATCTTCTAGCGACATATACATTCTACGGCTACAATTATACTCTGAACTGCGCTAACGAAGTCATTCCAACCGCGAAAGATATATACATATACTAGTGGACCCCACAGACGTTGTCCTGCATGATATTTAAAGCGATTAGGATATTAAGCAAAGTATGAAAGTACCGACTGCAGTGTCATCTTCCGGGCTGATTTGTGAATCTAAACCATTCCCAGATCCCCTTGAACACACACAAAAAATTTCATCAAAATCGGTCCAGTCGTTTGAGAGGAGTTCAGTCACATACACACGCACAGAAGAAATATATATATTAAGATAACTTTTCGATCTTAGCCACTGGTGCCACCCTTCCCGACAACAAAGACATATTGTTGATCCGGATGATCACATTACGATACATTAAAGGCCCAGCAAGATCTGTTTAGATTAGGGAGAAAACCCGCCTTCTAACGTGAGGGCCCTTACACTTGGCTCACTCTGGTAAGCTTCCGTCCGAACCTTCAGACGTTTGACCACCCCGCGACAGCCCATCCGAAGAAAAAGTACATTTCGCTCACCATAAAGCCCGAGCTGAAGCCCGGCACATTCTGTCGGATCCCAATGATCCCATTATGATACATAGGTGTATGTAAAAAAATGAATCAATCTGAAATTAGTAAGTTATTATGAATAAAGGGTATAGGCATAGGCTGTTCAGATAAGGGAAAAGCCCGCCTAACTTGAACTTCCATCCTGCCCTTCAGGCAAATGTCCCACCACGGCCCAAGCTGAGCTTAAGACCCTTGAGACCAACAGTGACATTCCATCAGACACTAGTTGACGTTTCTCCCTTTAGGTTTGAGAAGCTGTTCACCATCCTGTCTCCACAAGCTTAATACCACCGACATTAGTTTTTTTACAACAATTGGAAATAGATGATGCTGACGTGTGCCAATGAGCTAATGCTGCGCTGACGCAATTTGCATAAGATAATAATAATTTTATGTCATTAAATAATAGGTAATGTTTTTCAACCTCTTAATTATGTTAATAATTTTTTTTTCCTTTTTTAATAGTAGTTTAAAACATACTATATATCTGCCCCCGCGAACTTTTTTTTACATACCAACATGCTATGTTACCCCATAGACTATAGAGGCTGTTCGCTTTTCGAAATAAAATGCCAAATATTGAATAAACCTTTCGATTTATTCCTTAGCGTTAAAAAAAAACATACTTGAATTTATCCAACCGTTTTCGCTTAGAATATGTATGTATTTAGAATCCTGATTAAGGGCTTTTTAAAATGCACCATATCCTCCACAGTAGATGGTATAAAACTAATTATAACTTTTATTTATCTAATATATAAAATTCTCGTGTCACAGTTTTCGTTGCCATACTCCTCCGAAACGGCTCGACCGATTCTCATGAAATTTTGTGTGCATATTGGGTATGTCTGAGAATCGGACAACATCTATTTTTCATCCCCCTAAATGTTAAGGGTAGTCCACCCCTAAATATTTTATTTTTATTTTTAGATATTTTTTCTGTTTTTATTTTTTTATGATACAGCATTTAAAAATACATACAAACCCCTAACTTTCACCCCTCTACGATCAACCCCTATTTTTTTATTATAAATGATATATATGGCAAAACGACGTTTGCCCGGTCAGCTAGTAATATTATAAAACAAATCCTAGATTGTCAACGTGAGTTACACATTATTTACATAACCCAATACTTGAGATGGCTAAACTTGTTTCACGAGTTCTCTGTAAATATTACCAAATCTGTGGTTACCTACGTTAACAACAATAATTGTATGTGACACGGTCAAACATGAGATTATCATGGTTATATCAGGACTTTTAATAAAGCAACAATCATGTGACACAATCAAAAATGAGTATCATGGTTGTATCTGGGCTTTTATTAAGGCAACAATTTAGTGAATTTTATGCCGCGCCAACAAGAAACACAGACATTTAATAACTATAAATGTTGCTTATGGGACATTATGCATTAATTAAATCCTTGCAAGTATCGCTTAGAATTTAAAAAGCTGTATTAGTGGCTTTAGAACAAAAAAAACAGTGGCGCTACAACCATTTTGAGTCTGGACCTGTGATTTCTGTGTCTATATCGTGATCATTTGTTTTTTTTTAATAGGTGATAATAAACCTTCTTTCTGTGCCTACTATACGATGACTTCCATTTAAAAAAACATAATATACAGTATTTAATGAATATTCGTTAGGGTCTTGATTCCCCTTCAATAATCTTGTACCTTACAAAGCAAAATTATTATTACAGGATAAAGAAGTAGCGTCGCTGATCGAGAACCTGTACTCTAAGCTGAAGTTAGTGCTGGTCCGCAAGGATGAACAGAAATCGGCATCCCTGCGTGCACATTTGGGACGTATTGATGGGTTGCTGGAACGCAGGGGGACAAGGTATATAAGTCTATTATAGCCAAGTCTGTGACGGTCTGGAATCGTAAAGATTTAAAGTATAAATTATATGTTTTAAGGAAGTAAGGAAGACTTTTTGAGAAATTTTACGCATTTCATATCTTTTATATACATTTTTCTTTACTATATGAACAATATTTATGCTCGAGAAATCTTTAGTAACTAATCATTATATCTAATATGGATAAGGGAGCGTTCAAGTATTACGTAACGAATTTTTTTTGGGTGTCCTTTTGTAAAACGTTACGATGCGGGGCGGTAAGTCGAAATAATTAATATTATTTTCGACTTTCCAGTACTTTACACCACATAATGGTAACTTTTAGGAAAGAGTCACTAGGTGGTCACGAAACGTTTTACTATACTATACTATTGACAAACGGGGTGTTTGTCCAAAAATTGCGTGACGTAATACTTGAACGCCTAAGAATCTAACATAATTATAGATAAAACTTTATAATTGGACTGAACTTTATAATATGACTATAGGTAAGTACAGAAATAGTATATGAGTTATGTAAAAATATGTTTTTCGATCCCTGGGAAAAAAAACTGAAAAGTTTTCCTATTATATTAAAGTTTTAAATTTGTAAATTTATAATATATTTATTTCCAACATACAAATAAACGGTATATACAATATTCTTAATCTACATAGTAATAATAATAATTAAAAATGGATAAATAGAATATTATAATAAATTTTAAAAGTTCGGTCCCTGTAGCAGTGTATCTTTAATGCTGGCAGAATTTCCTCGCTTTATTGCGATACTTATTCGTTGAGCAAGGAAAGCACCAGGTCTTGGGTCAGCTGTACTATTTACCAGGCGCCCATTTGGAAATTAATATTTCAGGTTCCTGACAGGCGACACCATGTGCTGTTTTGACTGCGAGCTGATGCCGCGCTTGCAGCACATCCGCGTCGCTGGAAAATACTTCGTCGACTTTGAAATACCGGTTTGTTTGTCCTTAAGAACACCATTCTTATTTACATACTGTAAAAAAAATGCATAAAATGTTTTGCCCTTTATACTCTATGTACATCTTAACTGTGACATTTCAAATTGTCTATGCGATTTATCAAGAGATCTGTTTCAGACGAGTTTCCGGTCACTATGGCGTTACATGTATCACATGTACCAACTTGACGCGTTCACCCAGAGCTGTCCTGCTGACCAGGACATTATTAACCACTACAAGTTACAACAGGTATATTATTTCTGTAAATTAATTATTATGGTAACACGAAAATATGACTTTGGTTACTATACAAGATGACAACACCGAGTATAATATAATTAGCTTTTTTTTCTAACTGAAGTCAGAGTTAAGTACAAGTGATAGATTTTTCAACATTGAAATAAGATTTACGTTTGGTAACGTGTCCCTTACCGCCTTGAAAAAAACCGAAGGAAAGGTTGATCAGTTTGACATGGAAAATTACTTTTCTTTTATCTGTTAGTCTTCCATCTTTCTACAATGTAAATGTCTTGAATTTTATATCTCATGCCTATATCTTCTGTACCATGTTCTTTTTCTCAACCCCATCATGCAGATAGCAACAAAAGGTTTACTATCTCCAACATTGACGCGGCAAAGAAAAGACGAACCAACTACGCCGGTATGTTACGGGTTAATGTGTCGTAACAACGTAACACGCTGTGTACATAAACATATTCATAAAAATAAGAAATTCATCATAACATAATCTGTGCAATGCTTTTTGTTGTGTATTTGTCATATGTCCCGCATAGACAAGATTGTCTATGACCAGAGTGAGATAATTCATTTAAAGAAAAAACTTTTTAACCGGATTAAAGTTATGTATTATTATAAATTTACAATTATTTAACATAATTTTAAATTTATCCGACGTTTCGCGTGCTTTACAGCGTGCGTGGTCACAGTGACGAGATAATTCATACTTTTTAATTACCATGGGTATATCGATATGAACTAAGAAACTATAAATTAAGGTTTTTGTTTCATGTCAAAACTTTACAAAAGTTTTTTCTCGAATGTCAAATAAGTACCTACCTACTGTAAAGTTATTAATAAATTAGTTTTCGGTCCAGTTTAATATGATTGATTGTAAGAGATGCGGCGAATATGTTATATGATATTAAGAGTTATGGCTCATTGGCTTTATGGATGTTTTTTGTTCTTGAACAAAAGTAAAAGCTTAAAGGTCTTAAGGACTTCAACAAAAATTCTCAATAATCTAATTGAAGTCTCAAGTCAAAATCTCGATTTGAGCACAGGTGAATATGTCAAACTGCCTACATAAAAATTTGACAGTTCTTGTAGACAAAAAATTATATAAAATAACAAGTAAAAACATAATCTAAATTTTGATTGGCGTAAAAATACAGGCCTATGTCTAGCATTTTTCAACGTAACACGAAACTTATTAAGAAAAAGATTATGAATGCAGTATGGTTGAGAAACTCGACTAAATTCTCTAATTTTATTAATAATAATAAGCCTATGCTTGGTTGGTTGAGGTTTTGAAATATTAACCATGTACCTCATACATATAATAATTTCTAATCTTCTAACACTACATTTTAAATTGTCTTTAAGTTTATGTAGTGTGGCTGTTTACTTAAATAATATTGTACATACCAATAATGCAAATATGCAGTGGCCATTGATTGACCTTGATTGTTTTAACTTTTAATATTTGGAACTTTGTAAATATTAACTAGTTATAACAGACATGAAATCCTTAATCTTAATCGTTAATTTCTAGGCTCTTAAAATGAAGAAACACGAAGAGTTGGAGACTCCAACATTCACGACGTCTATTCCAGTTGACATCAACGATTCAAATGCTGAAGAATAACGGGTGAAATAATATATGGAGCGATAAATGGCGTTACAATTTGGTATTTGCCAACAGCACAGAGAAATCCAACTACTTTTTGGATTACATATTAAAAATAATTATCATGTGATATCCCACCCCACATACCCTCGTCCATCCAATGTTTATTTTTATATTTTTAATAAAGTACCATTAGCATTATTGTTTGGACAAATTGGTTGCATTTGATTGTTGTAGTAGCGATATATGTGGCCATTTATTTAAGACGGGCAGAGGTGGCACATACTTCAGATTAAATTATTTTTCTATTGTTATTAGACAAGTTGATTATTTAGACTTATTTAGTGTTCAAACACAACGAAATTTGACATATTTTTATTACATTTGCAATTATGCAGATTATTTTTGGACATAATTTAGTTTTAAGAAATATCGCCATTTTTATAAACCTCTGCCTTTATCTTTGCTCTTGCCTCATTACCTTCATGAAGGTAGTTTAGTACTTATTTTCTTGGTGAAAACCATATCCACAATGACTAGGTTACCTAGTGCAGGGCTTTAAATTTGTCCACTTATTTATGTAATAGAATTACCACTATATTTTTTGCATAAAAACAATATGTAGTACACCTATACAATACAAGTACATATTACCTACCGAAGAAGGGCAAAAGATATCAATCATGTCAATTGGACAATGTATAGGTAAAATAATGTTCTAGATTGTAATGTAATAGTTAAGGAATAAACCTGGATAAATATTTTTTTTATTTGAGTTTCATTTATTCCTTGGTTCCATTATTTACTTTTCCTCATTTTAATTATTTTTACATAAATAAAATGTCTTCTATTTAATAGCTTTTCAATAAGTTCTTTAGAAAGTGCATAAATGCTAATTGTGATATATCTGTAGCTTTTGTAATTTTTAATAAATCATTGTAACAAAACAAGTGTAAATTTATTCAACAACATATAAAATAAATTTTGCACACACACATTTAACATAGTTACCTCAATAAAGATTGTCTACATTTTTTTATTTGAGTCATGATAATATTTTCTACTGTTCCCAGTCCTCATCTAAAGTAATTCTCTTTTTCATCCATTCATTTCTATACATGTGTTTAGGGAGTAAACAGGTCAAAAACACGTGAGTAATATAAGCAGTGATACCCCATATTTTATAATTTTCTGCCAAAAATACAGGTAAGACAAATCCATTTCTAAATTGAGTATGATACTGGTTACTGGGGTCACAAAGAATATGTATAGGCACGGCTAACACCTCAGACACTTCTTCTTCATTAATTTTTAAATCATCAACAGTGAAATCCGGAACATAAGCTATAATAGGAGTAATCATTACTTTGAAATCCTTCCCAGGAAAGGAAGGTCCATATCCCCAAATATCTATCTTGGATGAAGAAAGTCCTATTTCCTCTCGTGTTTCCCTTAAAGCAGTTTCCACTGGAGTCTCACCTTCATCAGTCTTACCACCAGGAAATGAAATTTGACCACTGTGGCTATTTAATTTAGTCGATCGTACAGTATAAAGCAATGTGGGCTGCTCGTTGACCCGGCACATGGGGATCAGCACCGCTGCACTTCCGCTGGGCACTTTAGTTGTCTTTGTGAATGGCACACGAAACTTTTTAAAGTTTATCATACATCTTTCGCGGGATGCAAGAGAAAAAAGATTATGAAACCCAATCATTGATGTAGGCATCCTTTTTTCGGTTTTATGCTTTATGCATGTTTATAGCCTAATCAAGTAATTTTTACTTTGCTGTGTTTTTCTATACTTACGGCAACAGTTGTCTAAGTAATACTGATTACTGATAAGTTTAGAATAAAATTAAAATTAGTTTGGACTGAGGTTCAAAAATAAATTTTTGATTATAATCAAATATAAAAAGAGTACTAACGTACTAAGAAGTAAGATTAAAAAATTTAATGTTTGAGGCATTAGGCAGGGCTGCTAGATGAAAAAAAAGCATGATCGTACACCAACTACAAAAAATCGTATACCAAAGAAATTTTGAAATGAAAGATCGTACAACATAAAAGTGGAAAGTTTTTATTTAAAATGACCGGCTGCCTTTGTCTTAAAAAGTGTAACTATAAAACTCTCTTCTGAAACAATTTCGACGTCACAAAACAGTCCTGGGGCCTTAGTCAAGATGCCTTAACAGAAGTGATAGTGTATGTAGAAAGTCAAAAACTAAATTTGTATGAAAACTTTTCGACACGAACTGTCATTTCCATACAAATTTAGTTTTCGACTTTCTACATACACTACTGTTAAGGCATCTTGCCTAAGGCCCCTGGCTTTAAATTGGTTTTTACCGGGCCCTAATCAGTCTTTAAATAAATCTAATTTTCCCAATCGGGACGATACTTCTGTGCTCTGTGTTTGTTCCTCTCTGTTGCGGAAAGCGCTCTTCTTTTGGCTAATTTCTTTTTTGTACACCACCTGGTGCAGGTCGCTCTTCTTCATTTTCACTATCCATTCTTGCTTAAGGGTATTGAAGTAACACAAAAAACACTTAAGACAATATGCAGATCAAAAGAGGATATAATCACTTAGAACTCGAGACTGATGAAAAATACAGGTTTTTGACTATTCCAATACAAGAGAAAAATAATAAGTTTTGTAACAATGCACACAAATACAGACTTTATATGAAAAAAGGGTCTTCACGCGTAAAGGCTCTTCATTCAAATATCTAGGCATACGTTAGGTTGTTGGGGAATTTCGCGAACATAATACTTGCTGGAAGAATCGTAAATTTTCTGTACGATCTTGGTCTAGCGATCTTACAAGAGTAAAAATGACAAAATATCGTAGGAGTACGATTTAAATCGTACATCTGGCAGGCCTGGAGGAGTTGACTTATGATTATGATTATTCATTGTAAGTACAGACTACAGTACTTTGCTAAAACGATTCTTATTTCTTAATTGTCAATTGTCTTGTCACTTGATTATTAACATTATCAATTCAAAACTTATCTAAACTTAAAAACTGTAGAGTGTAGTTCAAACTTCAAGGTTCAAACTTCAAAGTACAAATTGGGATTTGGGAATATACTTAATAAAAACAGACATTTTTTATCCATAAATTATGCAATACAGTTAAAATGTTTTCTCCTCAAAGATTATTAACAACTTCAGCTCGTGAACGATGTATCGCATGTTTAAGGGGCCTGCCTGAGTTTGTGTTTGAAGATGTAAGTCCTAAAAAGAAAGCTTCAGTTTTAGTGCCAATGTGTGTCATAAATAATGAAGTGCATTTACTGTACACTATGCGATCTACTAACTTAAGTAGCCACGCAGGACAAGTATCGTTTCCGGGTGGAAAGATGGATAAAGATGAAGATGAAATAGAAACGGCTTTAAGAGAGACTGAAGAAGAAATTGGCGTGCCTCCAGAGGCAGTTGAAGTCTGGTCTACGATGTCAAGCGTTCAAGGTCGAGATAAGAACATGCTTATTACACCTGTTGTTGGTTTAATTAAAAATTTTGAGAATCAGACCCTCATACCAAATGTCTATGAAGTAGAAGAAATATTTACAGTACCTATGTCAGCTCTTTGTGATAGAAGAAACCATGCACACTTGGAGTTTGAGAAAACTATTCTTCCTGTCTTTTTATATGAGAAACATAAAATATGGGGTATTACAGGATTTATTACAAACTTTTTCCTACAATGTTTCCTTCCAACTGAAAGCTATCAATGTGACTTTTTAAGAAAAAAGTTTGAAATTCATGAACTATTACCATCAAAATTATAGTTGCACAGTGTAATTTCATGTTTGAGTGGGTATCAAAATATAATTATAGTTTATTACAATAATTATTGTATATAAAATTAAGTCAGACTGTACCGTAATATGGTATTAAGACTGTAAATAATGTTATATTAAAGCTTAATATTTATTTTTATATATTTTACAATAAATATTTACATAAATGTATTTAATTCTTCAAAGTTGGTGGTAATAATTTACAATCCACTTGTTCAATCATTGGCATTGAATTTGTTTCAATAAAGTTAATTCTGCAGTTGTAAGTGCAGATGTTTTTATATCTTTTCATGTCGGAGGCACATATAGGCTGATATTCTGTTGTACAAAAACAATACTTCTCGCTCCACTCCCATACTTGACAGTGTGTTGACAGGATACAAAATAATATAAATGTGAAAACTGCAACAAAAAAAATCCCATAAATTTCTATCTTCTTGAAGAGATGTAGGTATCCCCTTGGTTAGAGTTTGAGTCCACGGTTATATGCTAATGGTTATGTTCAATTTTATGTAGCATATAGTTTTAGAACGGTTTTTAAACAAAAAAAATTATTCCTCAGGAATAGGAGTAAAAGTTTATCTTCCTTTTAAGAAACATCCCCTTGGCAAGGGTGATACTTATTCAATATCTTTCTCAAAATAATTAAAATATTTGCTTAGCATATTCTATAGCCTAATTATTGTCATAAAACAATTTTAAAAAGACAAGTTATACATTGGCATTGTCTTTACAGGAAATTTCTGAGGCAAAAATATACTTAAACCAACTTATAGTTTAGTTGTAAAGTAGTCTTTAGTTTACGGGTGTACTACTCATTTAAACTTTTTATTTTTGTGAATAAAACGCGAATAAATTCGTCATTTAACAACACAACAACTGCTCACAAAATTTATCATAGAAACAATTTTAACTAATTCATTTAATATGTACCTACAAATCCTAATTTTCATGGCATTTTCCTTCTTTTACTATTCTTAATGGCTCCTTATGCGACCGGTCCACAAATTTTTTGTAACAGTTAAATTCACATGGGCTATTGAAACTATTTCCGTCGGAAGCGCAAACAGGTGAAAACATTTTTGTGCAAGGACAGCTTGGGTGTTGTGATGGTCCTTTGTATGCCGGTACAGTGTAGCAAGCACACGAAGTAAGGAGAATTGCCAGGAGAATCACTGTAAAGGAATTGTGGGTTAGTCACAAACAAAATAGTGCAATTACTGGATTATTCAAATAATATTTAAATTATTTAATTCATTTATTTCTGCAATTAGACAATTGTATAAAATTTGTTTTTAATAAGTAATTTAATCTCGTATAGTTAATAATATACCTAGATAAGATAATATTACGTATTATTATTACTTAATTTCTTCTATATATTACATTCTATATCTTACTTTCTTATATATTACATAATTAGATAAAGGTTTACGGTCGTATAGCATATCAAAACGTATAGACCAACATATATTGTTTGAGACGTTAGATGCACAAAAATCTACCATCCCAGACTAAGCTTGGGTCTCGGTAAGATTTAGGATGATATTCATAGTCGGGACTTAGCACTAAGTAAAACTTATGTTTGTGACATATGAGAGTTATACTTAACGTTAAATTGCAACTGAATCTTATGAGATATCTCAGTTTTTTATATTGGATTTCTAACAACACGCGTAAACTTTCCCGCTTTTTTTCACCAAGTCTAAAGCATAACGCCCCGTAAACTAATAAATATATAAATAATTTAAAAAATCCGATATGAAATCTTTTTATAGTGTGTAAACATTAAGGTTAATGATTTTTTTGTTATTATGAAGGTTTTTATAACATTATTTTTAATTAAAATATCTTACCAACTCGGTTATCCATTTTAAAAACCGTTTCGTTCACTTAACGTTAACAATGTGATCCTGTCACTGCTTTTTATACTGTTAATTATTATCTTAATGGTGACTCAAGGATAATAAAGTCAAGTTGGCCTAGATCCGTAATTTGCAATAAAGTGGAAACACTTGAACGCACTTCATCGAAGATATCGGCTATTATTTTTATCTACAACTTCCGTTACACAACCATAGTAAATATGCGAAACACATACAGTATGGCGAACGAAAAAATATTCAAATCGTATAAATACGTTTCCACAGTTCGATTGACAGCTAGGTCAGGTACTGTTAGACGGAGGTTCTGTTCGTAACTCTTCTTTTAGTAACAATAATAAAACAAATTGTATTTACCCTGAAACATAAAGGCGGAAATTAATCTCACGTTATACATGTATCTTGGTCTCATTCTGGTTTTTTTAAGTCTGGGCCTTAGATTTCTGTATCTGTTTCATGATAATTTTCAATCTAATAGGTAAGTAGGTGACCAGTTCGTGGATCTAACGCAAGCTGGTTTTCTCAAGGTGTTTTGTTTCACTGTTCGAGCGAATGTTAAATGCGCACATAAAAAAATAAAATTCAATTAGTGCACAGCCTGGGATCGAACCTACGACCGCGGGGATGAGAGTCGTATGCTTAAGCCACTAGTCCAACACACCGTGGCAGTTTAGAGAGACTTATTAGTGAAACTTCCTATAAATTATAACGAAAACCAAACATAGAATCGACCAATCTGAGGATCATAATCGTAGTGGGCGCTAAGTATCGATACTTGAATCTTATATTAGTCAAGTAGTTGTGTTTTGCAAAAGCATTTCACAAATAGCCAAATTATGAAACTTAGAATTGTAATATATCAGTGAACTTAAGCTTACTATTCCAAAATACTAACACAAAGAGAAAAAACCCCGGTACAAAACCTTTAATTTATTTTGACTTTGAATGAATGACGTCACCACAACGTGTAAAAATTTTAAAGTATCTGTTCGTGCTTTTGGAGTTCCCCATTTCAGGCGTAAAAGATTTGCAGACAACGATTAATAGATTATACGGACATATTAACGTCTATTTGAACAATGCCCAATGAAAAGCAAATTAACTATCTATGACTATTCAAAGATTCAGGTGTATAATTTATACGGTAGCATCAGGCGCTGTTTTTAAGACAAAAAATTCGCGTGGTGTGAATCAGTTACATCAAAGACAACTACAGTAAAATCACGATTCTTCTTTCGGTATTAAATCATCTATAATTTAGGTAAGTACAAAGCTTTATGTCGGATGGTCTATTTATCGCCACAGGCTATTAGGCAAAATATAACATTACTCATCAACACAGATCTTAAAAACTACTAATAAATCTCAAAATTTTGACAATTTGAGCATTTCCAGATGAATAGAAAATTCTACCTTTCAAGTCAAAAGCATAATAAAGGCGCAAGCGAAGCGGCAGTTAGTTATGACATATTGTATTTTTTCGTGGAGGACAATACAGAAATCTACTTCCTTCTACCTTGTTGGGTTTTCATCACGGTCATCACGGTGAGAAAATCTGATGCGCAAGGCATAATAGTTGCTTTATAAAAAAATAGAAACGTCTAATTAAATCCTAGTGCTTGTCACCACAAATAAGGATAATAAATACGCAAAAAAACTTATATTTTCTTTGCTTTTGCATTACGACATCGAATTTGATAGGCATAAACGCTGTATTTATAAAACTCTTCATAAACAATCACTATTTAGAAATCTTTTATCAGTCTTAGACAAGAAAATGTAAAAAAGGGATTTTAGTTATTCTAATAAAAAAGACAAGAGTCTATATTAAGTGGCGAGTATATAATAATTAATTAACTTTCAAACTAAACATTAATGATTATAAATGTAAATTTATTACATTATTTGCATAACTCGACTTTTCGAGTGCTTTACAATAGGTTGAAAGTGAGATTCAAAGACGAGAATTCGCGCGAACCGACTCTCGTTTGTCAAACATTACAAATTTCTTAGCAAAGTATGACAGTAAATTCGCGTTTATATCCGCTATCTTTAGCGGATATAAAGATCTAGTGCCCGTGTAAACTAAATATTCACATTAACAGTGACGGATTTACAGGTATAGGCTGTGAAGTTTTTGCCGCCTTTGCCTCTACAATTATCATATCCTAGAATATTTGTACTATCCAACAATTTCGTTGTTTTTTGAGCACAAAATTATATCCAGGTCGCAGCCTCCAGCCAATAGTAGAAATGATATGTATGGGTTGATAGAGTGAAGAGGCATGTACATTTTCTGCAATTTCGCTCTTTTCACTCGTACAAAGTGTTAGCTGAAGGTGCAGAAGTCGACTGGTTGGGGGCGGCGAACTTGCTATTTTAGAATATTAAAATTTGCTACCACTGAATATACAATGACAACTTAGAGGGCAAAGTCATCGGCAAAATTTGTTGCAGACTTCTATCTGTAAAACATCAGAAATCTTTTTGATTTCTATGGGGTAGCAAAAAAAATTCGGTTCCCAAATTTGCCGCCCTAGGCTCCAGCCTACTCTGCCAATGCATAACGTGCATGATTAACATCATTATGTGACTGTCCGATTAAAATTTTATTTTAGATATCTGTCAAGCCGCCAAGCCGAGCAAAAAAGCGGGACGGACGATATATTATCTACATTATCTTATAACTTTGTTCTAAATAAAATAGAAACCTCAATTTTCAGTAACTGAGCAGGAATATTATAAACAAGCTCTATTTAAAATTTCATTAGTCAATCTATTTATTTAAAACATACAAGATTTTTAATATTGATATGGTAACTGTAAGATGTTGTTTGGTTAGCTACAATTACATATTAACTTAAGACCCTATCCCAGCACGAATTGCTGTGTCAGTGTCTCGGGGTGGAGTGCGGGGCGCAGTGGAGAGCTGGAGCACTGAGGCGCGCCGGCCCGTAATAACAATTAGTTATGTAAAACATGAAATTAATGTAATTTTATCCATTTTTATCTGAAATGGATTACTTGGCTTGCGATAAAATATATCGTGTAAATTTCAAAGTCAGGTTCTATATACATTTTCGTCATAAAATGAATTCAGTGTCA